GGCAGAAGGCTGGTGGGGAGTGCCTGTGAGCCCGTGTCAAGTGCTAAAAATAACAATAGACAAGGCACAACCTGCAATTGTGGGGGATCTGTTTGTCTTTTGTTCTGCACTACACTTACAACATAATTAATGCTATTTTCCCTGTAGAATCTGGATTTATTTTATTTTATTTTTTATTATTTTTTACTCATTAGCGAATAATTTCTGACTGTGATCAGCTCAGCTCACAGGTGTTGGAGCATCTCTAGCAATTCTGCTTCTGACATTTCACTGCCTATCTCAAGCTGGAAGTTCCATACAAAATGGCAGAAGCTTTATTTTGAGGGTGGCAGCACACTGGAATAGGCTGCCCAGAGAGGTTATGGTGTCTCCTTCCCTGGAGATACAGGAAATACACCTGAATGCTTTCCTGTGTAACCTACTGTACGGAACCTGTCTTAACAGAAGGGCAATGGACTTACTGATGCCTGGAGGTCCCTTCCAACCCTTGTGATTCTGTGATCAATTTTTGTGCTAGCTGTTAAATAGGAGTTAAACTGGAGAAGGGGCCTGCATGCAGGTTTAGCTCTCAAGAGGAAAGGAATTGTAATTATGTTTGTATTCACTGCAGTTATTTCCCCAGAGCTGCAGAAACAGGTCAGCCATAACTGATGGAAAAACGTTAAAATTCAAAATTAATGCAAGAACTGTAGAGAGCTCAGCTGGCAAGGGCACTGTTAAATGGTCCCAGCCCTTTTACATGGGGGATCTCCTGGTTATTCCAAAGTTTTACCTCCATACTTCAGCTTGATATGGCTTATAGAGGTATTGGGTAAGCTAAGTTACTCTGTGTTCATGGGCACGGTGCTTGTGCATATGCAGTTTCTTTGCAGGTTTGGTTGCATTGACACTTTTTTGGTGGCTATCAAAGTTGTGGATTTTCCTCAATCTTGGCATGGATGAAAAAGGGCTGAGTGACTACTGCTGTTACTGGACATACTTTCTTCCCCTGCCTCATTTCGAATACAAGAACAAAATTTCTTAATAATAATTGAATAATATCCATGAGCATATCACTATATGTCAAAAAAAAATCCGCCCATCCATGATAGTCCAGACTGCTCTGCCTCCCGACTGTCACAGTGTGGTGGGTTTCTGAGAAGTAAATTCTGCCTGCACCAGTTCAGCAATCCAGGTTTATCTTTGCATTTCTGCTTTGTACTATCGATTTCATTTCTACAGTCTGTTTTTAAGCAGCATGCATACAAATGTTAACATTTTTTCCAAGCCACAGTGTTTTAAAGACATTTTTTGAAAAGGACACCAATTGTCATTCCTCAGTATTTTGTTGTGTGATATTTTTAGTATGGAATTTCAACGTTTTAGTTTAAAAAGTTGTATGTATATAATACATATATATATATATATATATGTATATTTAATTAAATGGGAGACTCAATATCAGGTTTAAAAAAAAAACACATGAGCATTAAGGATGCAGGAAGGCTCTGGAAAATGCTTCCTCACTGTTGTGAACAATCTCATTCAGGAAGAATCTCATCTCATTCCTGTGGGCTCCCCAATGGAAAGACAGTGTGAAATGGGTGAGAATACCTGACCCAAAAAGTGGTAGTTCTGTTTTGCAGAGGGACTGCTTCCTGAGTGGTGCAGTTGACACAATAGAAGGAAGGGACAGCATCCAGAGGGACCTGGACAGGCTCGAAAAGTGGGCACATGAGAATCTAATGGGGATCAACAAGGCCAAGTGCAAAGTATTGCACTTGGGTCAAGACAATCCCAGATATGAGTGCAGACTGGGAGAAGAATTCATTGAGAGCAGCTCTGTAGAAGAGGAGCCAGGGATTCTGATGGATGAAAACCTGAATTTGAGCCAGTAGTGTGCTTTGTCAGCCCAGAAGACCAGCAATATCCTGGGCTGCATCAACACAGGGGTGGCAGCAGGGAGAGGGAGGGGATTTTCTTTCTGCTTGTGAGACCCCATCTGGATTACAGTGTCCAAGCTTGGGGACCCCAGCAAAAGAAGGATGTGGAATGAGACATCATTGTGGCCTTCCAATACTTGAAGGGAGCTTAAAAGCAGGAAAGGAACCTACCTTTTACACAGTCTGTTAGTGACAAGACAAGGGCGAGCATGGCTTTAAACTAAAAGTGGAGAGATTTAGGTTAGATGTTAGAAGGAAATTCTTTACTGAGAGGGCAGTGAGGCCCTGGCACTGCTGCCCAGAGCTGTGAGTGCCCCATCCTTGGAGGTGCTCCAGGCCAGTTGGATGGGACCTGGGCAGCCCTGTCCATGGCAGGGGATTGGAACTGTGTGATCTTTATGGACCCCTCCAACCTAAGCCATTCAGTGATTCTGTACGCCAAGAGCTCACTCAGATTCCATTTGAAGGGCACCAGAAGAGGCCACTAGTTTTCTTGGCAGCCCCATTCTCTGTGAAACAGAAGTAATGAAAGCCCTTGGAAAGCTGCACTTTTCTGGAGGGTCACAGTAGACTCTGCGATCTGTTGCATCAAACTGTTCAGCAACAGGAGCCAGCCAAGCTAGCTCTTTTCTGCGCCTTTACTGCATGAGTGCCTTGCAGTATAAAAGTCTGCAGTCCCAAAGACTTATGCTTATGGTGTTAGAAAATGAGTTCTACTTTGTACTACTTAGATTGGGTTAATACAAGTTTTTCTTGTGAAGTATGTTTAACTTCAAAGCAAACTATTTTGTAAAGAAACCTAGAAACAGAGCTTCGAGCTCTGCAGCAATTAGATATTCTTCTTGCCGCCCACTGGAAAGATCAATGTCATGGTTTTTGTCTGTTTAACACCCAATAATCTAAAGTGACTTGTACAGTCAGCTGAAAAGAGATCACATGGCAGTGTTAGCAAATTATTTCCTTAATCTGATAATCTGTTGAGACATCCGTGAGTTGCACAGATTGCACTAATTACAGAGGGTTCAAAGTAATCATTAGTGTACTTTGCCCCACAGTAGACATCCTTTATTGCTAAAACAGAATAAAATAAATAAATAAATCAGGCATTATCACAGATACATATGGCTAAAATGGACAAAACATAATTGAGCATTTAATGTGGTGATTAAAATATTCCCAGGATTTGTAGCACTTGTTAAGCTGTTTTCATTGGGAAACCCATGCTGTATAGTCACAAGCTTAATTTACTGAACCACTTAAGGCATGACTGTAACCAATTTAAGGAGGCTTTTAAGTTGTCTGATTCTTTGCTGTAAGTATCAACTAATTGTGTCTCTGGCCATACAATACACATTCCAACTTCCACCATCAGTAGGAGTTTAACATTGAGGTGCCTGGACTCACGGGAGCTCGGTGGCACCAATCTCAGTGCCTTGGCTCCTACTGACATCCTTCCTAGCATGGCTAGGTGAGATAACTCAAGTGCACAGAGCTTGTCAGTAGTACTCCAAGAGCACTCCAAAGTAAAAAACAAAACAAAAAAAAAAACAAAACAAAAAAAAAAACCCACAAAATTAAGAGTTAAAAATAAAATAAGTAGCCCTAACAGTCTGCGGAAAAACAAGTTAGAGAAAAGGAACATACTTTTCCAAAGCAGAATGCAAGGGTAGTGTGTAGTTAGAGGTACTGGTACAGTTTCTGCTGATCTACTGCTGATCTACTTCTGGATACACCTGGCTATTTACAGAATTTCTCTGACAATATTTATGATGTATTTCAAGTGTGTAAGTCATTTCTGGAACAAAGCACATTATCTATACGGGTGCTGTCTGTTTCGGTATAAATAACATCTTTTCTTCCGTATTCAGTGACAGTTCTACTGCCATTGTTCAGGAAATAAAAAATATACATAGATAACAAAATATGTTCTGTAATATTTTTCTTGTCAAGACAAACTGATGAGAAAAATATTTGGTTAGTTTCAATTCTTTTCCTTAAAAGGGAAACATAATACAAGAAGCAATAATATGCATACATAAAGGCAAACAGAAGAAACTACTTTCTATTTAGGTCCTTTTATTATTTCTCATTCATTTTAGTGCCAGGGAAGCAGAGATGTAATAGATGAGAAGAACTTGTCAGGTTGTGCAGTCTGTTTCTCAATAATGTTGTACTATTGCCTATAACCTATGTTTGGGCTTGATGAGCAATATGGTATCACCACTGTAGAAAGCATTTCCTAAGACAGCTTCGTATCGTGTATGTGCCAAGTAATTCTGTGGGTGCTGGGGGGAACTGCTTTGATGCAGAACAGTAGAAATTCACATTCTCTTGATTAATTTCTCTTTGGAAACACCATATTGCTTCTCCTGTGGGTCTGCAGCAAATACTGGTTTATTTGGGCGCCCCCCCCCCCCCCAGGAGGAGCTACCCCTACTTTGTAATATTATAAAGGGCACAACTATAATTTCCTGGGATAACTGTAATTTCCTGGGGTGTATTGAATACATCTAGCTCTTTCTTTGTCATACTCATCCACAGGCAGGGACACGTCTAAGCCTAAAGGCTCATATACTGTCTCTGTAATAAACCAACTGTACTATTTTAAGGTTAAGCTCCTGTTATCCTCACTGACATTTCTATACAACAAGAAACTGCATTTTGCACAAGCTAAAACCTTTTAGCTTCTCTTGGGATACATACACTGCATGCCTCTCACTTGTATTTAAACAAGTGAGAAGATTACAAAGCACCTGATGGAATAATATTGGATTTTATATTTATGGAGGCAAGTCATGTAGCTGGATCTCGACCCAATGCTTGTTGAAGAAATGAAGATTTTGATGAGTTCAACCCGCAGCTCTCTTTGATATTAATGGGAAACAGTTCAAAAGAAATGCAGACTCTCACACAGTTATTGTACGTTGCTTTACCAGACAGTGAAGCTAAAGACAAAAAGTTCCTTGGATTCTCATGCATAACCACAGATGTTTTATGGCCCTGGTTTTCAGAATTGCACACAGTTAGTACAGTACTTTGAGAATGGTTTACATCCTTACTGAAGCAATCTGAACTTACCTCCTTGCTCATCCAACATAACCAAAGTCCTGATACCAGCATCTTTACTCTACATTCCAATAGTGGTAGCAAGGTAAGGAGAGGAGGGAGAGAAGAAAGAGAGAGAGAGAAAGAGAGATCAGTGAGGGAACACTCAGTCCTAGGTACGGGACATAGGAAGACAAAAGGAAAACAGTGAAAAGAATGACAAGGTCATAAGGGCCTGGCAGCACTGTCCAAAGCCCTTACATGACTGAGCACTGTAAAGGAAACCATATATTCTTAGTTGTGCCACCAGCATGTTAGGATTTCCTGGGGTGCTGAACTACTGCAGGAAACACAAAGTCCCAGACCTTGAGATTACAGAAATCACTTTATTCAAGAGTCATTTGTAAAAAGAGTGTTTGTTTCGAAGTTCTCTGTAGTGGGAGAAGGGAAGAAGGGGGTTTTGAAACTGCAGATGTTTTTTCATCCCACAGGAGAGATAGATGACACAAACATATGTGGTAATAAGACACAGTGATTTGTATATCACTCTTGCAACACAGAAGTGAGAAAGCTTTCCTAATTAGGAAGTGCATTTTAAGTTAGGGTAGCATTTATTGAGATTTACTCATATAATTTGGCTCCAAGATCTAATAGATAAGCCAACCCGCACCTTTAGTATCCATCAATGGACTTTGTTTTGAGTTTGAAGGCAAGATTCTTAAAACGCATCAGCACTGATCCTATCTCCTGCAGGGGAGTCTTTCGATTGCCTTTGCTGTGAGTGGGATTTGGGCAAAGCTGAGCACATCAGAGCTCCTTCCTGCCTGAACCAGCAGCAGAACACCTTTCACCGATGCAGTTTTTGCATGCATTATCACCACTATGTGTTGTGATCAAGTGTCTCAAGTTTCTGGGTGCTGTGATACAAAGCTATATCATAGATTAGACTAGTTCCTTTTTAATTATAATGGGGAAACTAGCTCTATTCTGCTTAAAGCAGTGATAATGTCTGTGAATAATTAATAGCCTGAACAATATCCTTAATGTTGCGTTTCAGTAACAGATGCAGTAAGTCCCCTGCGGCCTGTCAGCTTGCCAGAGGAGTTACCTGAATATGTGCAGCAGTAATTTAACTGCTTCCTTGAAATTAAAGCTCCCCATGCCCCTGGGAAGCAGACAGAACTGGTAGCATTGATTTTGTAGGAGCCAGAGGAGATGCAGTTACTTGAGCATGATTGTCCTGACTGTCCTTTAGGGGTTTTTTAGGCTGTCCTCTCTCCCATCAAGGCACATCAAGAGTTTCATGTTGTCCTTCCTCCCCCCTGCCCTGCTGACTGTCATCACTCGTCTTTTTGTCCAGGAGCAGTGATGTCTCTCCAGCCATCAGCTCTGCACTGCATGTTTGCAGGGTGCTCCCAGTGTGTCAGCAGCACGCTGCGTACCTTGGCTCAGCTACAAGCCTGCCTGAAGCATTCAGGCTGGCTGGATTGTACAGCAGCTGTGCTTCTGTGCTTGGCTTCAAGAGGGACTCTGCTTGGTTCAGGAGGGAGATAAGATGCCTCTTTTTGCACTCTCATCTGCCTCCCTCCTCACTGCCTTTCTTGATTTTAATGTCTGTGTCACTGTAGAAACTGGGGAAAACATCAGATGTGCACAGCCTGATTCACCTCCCCTTGTTTAATCCCTGTGTAAATTGCTATGAGGAGAAAAGTCTCTTGCCCAACAGTCTTCAGGGCCTACTTGCCCTTGGGCCAGCGACCTGTCAGCTACTGCTGCTGCTCTCTCTCCCTTCTTGCTTGTACCACCTTGCTTGAGTGCCAGCCTTTAGAAACTTAGAATCCAAGGGTCATCTTAGACTTGCCTTTTTAGAAGAAGGAAGCTGCCATTAGTAAGCTTAAATTTTCTGTGGGACAAGCAAGTGTCAGATCTGCTAAGCACTGGATTGTTACTGTGCTCTCTCTACTCTCTTGGTACCCACGGGTGGCTTACCTGGAATTATTTGTATGTCTTTCAACAAAACATACATTGTGCGAACATGAAGAGGCTGCTTAGGACCTGAGTTAGACTCTTGGGTTTGAGTAAATACAGTGCAGTCAGACGTAGGGCTTTTCTAAATTTTAAACTTAGAAAATCTGCAACTGATAGTGTGATAGTTCTTGGCCCTCAGTGAGTCAAACATAACCAGGCTGAGAAATGTTTGATGTTCCTTAACCCTCTGACCTTCTGTTTCTTCAGATTTTGAGATCTAAGCAAACTGCTTTTATGTGGTTAAGATGTCCAGTGACCAGAACAAGACCTATGCTGAAAGAGGAATACAGCAATTAGAATCTACAGTTTGTATTTCAAATTAAATACTCACAAAGAGCAAAGGAGGTGCAGTTTTCTTGTACTTACCTGACCATCAGTGCCATTTAATTTTATTAGGCAATACTCTTTCCCTTAAGAATACTCTTTCCCTGTAGCTCAGTCTGCCACAGCATTAATACTAATGTGAAAATATTAAGGGTGTGCATTGAATATATTTCTCTGCATCTAACCATCTGCATCTTCTAACCCAAAACATACTGAAGCTAATAAAAAGATGCTCACTGACAAAGATAAGAGGTGATTCAGACATCAAGTGACAATCTCCTCCTGTTCCAAGTTTTGGTTAAGCATTAATTGTCAGCTTTTTCTCAAAAATTTAACTGTGTACAGCCAGTTTAAAAAAAGTATATAAAATAGCATTCATGCATTTAAAAAAGAGCCAGACTTGTGATCTGTCTTTTAAATACTTCAGAACCAAGCATGTCTGTGATACAGAAGTATTTGAAAATGTGCTCGTCATCTAGAGCACGACAAAAACCCTCTCAGTATCTGACCCTCAGTGAAAGCAGACTGAGGCATCTGTAGAAGCCACAAATCCTCTTTGTTTAAGGGAAGATAGAGGAAAAAAGGTGGTACGCAGGTGTACTTGGTGCCAAAGGAAAGACCTCCCAAACACAGAAAATATTGGCATTTCCTGCACTATAAGTGCCCCAGAAACTCCCCTTAGCCTGAGTGGGAGCAGATGTCAGCAGACGCACTTGAACTGGTTGCTGAGGGAGCATGTAGCAGGAGGTGACTAAAGCTGTGTTTGCCCGTTATCAGCGTGTATCATGTTTTACAGCAACTGATCATAAAACCTTGGCAACAAGTTCCCGGCAGAGCCATTGTCACTGGGGTAGGAGCTGTGTTCTGGTGCTGTAATTTTCTGGTCCAGAGTGCCCAAGAAAGGCTCCCACTCGTGTACGATGCTTCCCAACACCAGTGGGATCCTAAGTGGTAAGCCATGAATGAGCAGAAGTAGCAAGATCTGTGGTGTTAAAAAAGGTGTCCTTATAGTATGCTTTCCCCAGAATTAGGGCATTTGTGTCTTCTGTGCAATGAAGGAATTTTTTAAGACCTCCAATCCTTGCATAGGCAATCCTCCATTTAGTTTATGGCAAAATAAGAATTCTCAAAAAACAGGGTGCTTAAAGGTAGTTCAGGCCAGAGAAAAGAAAAGGACACCTTTGACAGAGCCCTACGGAGTTCACGGAGTACATGCCACTTGAAGCCAGCTTTCAAAAGCCTTCTCTCTCAGGTTTAGTTTTGATTTTCTTTGTCTCCCTGTTGCACTTGAGAGAAGAATTTGAACTGTTGGATTTTGTCTCGGTACAGCAAACATCTCGCACCCTTGTTCTTCAGAAGTAAATGGCACAGCGTGAATTCCTTTTGTTGAGCCATTAAGCTGACAGCTTTGGAGTTTCTCTGCTTACCCATATAACAGGTACACCACAGATGGTAAAACGTAGAATCTTTCCCACGCAGCCCTCGAACGTACTCAGCCCTGACTCTAGGAGTGGGCAAGTCAGCCTGCCTGTCCTCCCAGACTGTGATTTCCATGGAGACTGATGCGTGTTACCAAATCTTCTGCAAAGCAAAGGGGCATGCAGACCTGGCAAACTTTGCACACAGGGTGACCCCTTCATAGCAGGAGGCCATCACTTTCAACTTCTAAAAATTAATTGCATTAGAAGAAATAGTGCCATATAGACCCCATAAAGTTCATGAAAGTCAATGACCTTTAAATTTTTGGTAACACTATTTGGCTCAAGGTAAACCAACAAGAAGGCGGTTTGAGTTCAGCTTTAACATGCTTTCTGTGAAGCACATACCCAGGTTCTCCACTGGACTGCAATCTAAGGTACTGATCAGAAAGCCAGAATATATGAATTTAAAACTGTGGGCTTACTTGAACTCCTAGATATCACCCTACAGTAGTCTGCTTCAGTGAAGCCAGTTTAACGGCATAATTTGGATCCCTGTTGCAGTCATAATTATATGTTATCCTCAGTCTTCAGTAACAGCTTTATAAAACTTTTAAATGTTAGGGTCTCAATCAAAGCCTTTTAAATTCATCTACTAGATGTTCAGTGGGATTTGACAGCACTGTGGAGAAATGCATTGCTGTATTATTTCTTATTATTACTGTTACAAGATTGAGTTTCCCAAGGAAGGGAGTTGGAAGGACATCTCACAGGGCCCACTAGTCCCTCCAGAAATACAATGTGTCACGTCCTGTCCTTAGCCATTACGAAAAACAGCTACTGTAGCAGTGACTAAGCCCAAAGTATGATTCTCATAATGATAAACAGGAGTAAAGTATCAGATAGAGAACTGGAATCACTAGAAATCCCTTCTTCTGCATTTCAAGAGTTAGCTTGAGAAGAGCATGTACACTCTGTTATGTGAAGAATACATAATCTTCCACTTCAATGAAGAGTTTTGCTTTAATTGATCTGGATTTTAGAGTTTGTTTTGAAAAAAATAATACAGATATTATATACCAGGACAGACTGATGTAGCTAGCAGTTCCCAGAGATACTAAAGAGAAATGTCAACCCCCTAAAGACAAAAATGTGGTCAAAGAAACATTTTTAGTCATCTGTAGTAAAGCATTTCCTCAGCTCCTGCTCCAGGTTCACTGTCACCCCATTAATGCTGTAATGTCTCTCTGTGCCTGATTAAGGAGCCATGTTACCTCACAGAGCCTGTTAATTCACCCTGGGGCTCAGAATCTAAGCTGATAGGAATCTGCATGTCACTGCCCTTCGAATCACATGTTCCTGGTTTTCTTCTAGCTCAGTGACCCTGGCTCTGAGTGCTCTCCAGATGATTTACACAGACCCTGCTACAGGTTTAGTTCTACCTAGTAAATGCTGACACCAAAATTATGAATCACCCTCCCCTGTGCCAGATATGTATTTCTGTGGAATTATACAGATTAAAACTCCTGTCTGTGTAAAACCATTCCAGTAGTTAATGATGTCAAGGGGATTTTTTCAAATCAGCTTTGACAAGCTTTGAATGAAACTCTAAATTAATAGATTTTTTTTTAATTCTTTTGTCATTAATTAAGGAGCATTTGACTCTGGTGTTAATATCACGGGAAACTCACTACCCAGTCACAAATGAAGGAAGCTCAGTGTCCTCATTAGAGATGCATCTTGATTTTACTGAACTTCCTTAACTTACCATTTCAGCTTTGATATACTGGTAAACTTGATCCTAACCCCACAGCATGTAGGAGGAGAAAATAGATCTGGATTTGAATGTTCAGAACAACCCTCTTGTATTAAGTTGTTGCTGAGTGCTTTCTTGCTGTGCTTTCTACAGAACTGATTTTGACATTCCTATCCTTGCAGTGTCAAAGCTAGAAACCATTTTTTTCTTCCACCCTACAATGACTGATTTTCTTTAAAGGTGATAATAGTTCCACTGGAATATGATAATGGTCTCACGTTTTATTGTACTGCATTATTTCTTCATTTCATGAAGTTGCCTCAGAGATAATAAGCTTAAACAAGAAAATAATAGGAGTGTCAGTTACATATTATGTTTTAGTCTTACTCTCCTGCCTAAGTTCATTTTTATTTTATATTTTGGCCTGAACATTGCATAGCTACGTCGTAAAATGCTGGTATTTTTAGCGCTGAGTAACTGAGTGGGTCCATTGGCCATTGGTTAGTATAGATGTACATATGTGCTGCGTGGCTATGCTGAGCACTGCAGAGCAAACTGGTCTTTGTAATCTACTATGCCAGTAGTAGCTGCCTTCAAACAAAGCATTGGCCAGTTCATAATGTCCACTCACCACTTCTTGCTTCCCCTGTTGTGCTAGAACAGAAACAATCAGCTCCTTGAAAAGCTGGGTTATAGAAACAAGCAGTAACAGACTCGGTCCTTCAGCAAGGAGAATAGCTCCATTTCCTTCTCTGACATTCCCTGGGAAGAGCACCAGAGCTTCATCTTCAAACTCAGCTTTAGTCTGCTTGGGCAAGGAGGGCATAGAGTCCTTGTGAACATCAGTTTTGTCCCTTGTGTTATGACCTCTGTTTCAGCACTGTGCTGCCATAGAGCTTCCCAGAGTTGACAACGCTTCTCTTTCTCTAGAGTTTGTTCTGTATTTTCCCAGTATCTAATAGATTGAAGCCAATCATGACAGGAATACATATATATGTGCGTAGGAATAATGTTTAAAGTGGAGATATCCTGTTCCCTAGAAGGTAATGGATTTGCTGTATAAAAAGAATATAGTAAGCATTCTTTCACTGACAACAAATATTTTCTATCTCTACTCGCTAGACAGGTTCTGCTAAGCAAGTGAGTCTAATTGGATCTTTTTTATTAAATCAGAGCAGTACAAGTTCAATTTCAAAGACACTCACCATTTGTCTTCTCAGCCTAAAATCTTTCACTCCCTAAATGCTGCATTTTTTGAAATGTACTTAAGAAGTGGTGTTAGAGTAACCAGCAGTTGTTCAGACCACAGAAGAATGTTAATGGTCTTTTTTTGTCACATTAGTGAAAATAATACTCAGTTCACTGTGCAAGAATTCCCTTGACTACTTAAACTAGCTCTAAAAATTCTGTATTTGCATAGGAAAATATCGCTGCCTCTGAATAAAGGCAGGTCTGGAGAGATGCTGAGCTCTCCCAAGAAGCAGTAGAATCCTACGTAAACTCATTGGTAAATTCAGCATCCCAGTTCTCCTCCTGCTTTGCCATTTGCCATGATTCAATACTGAAATTCCAGTAGCATTCACAGTATGCTCGTTCAGTATGTTAGGAAAACTCAAGCAGTGCATAGGTCACGCAAATATGGCTCAGAAGAGACAGGACTGATATTTACTGATGGTGTGGCCCTGGGCAAATCACTTCCCTTTCCTGTGCCTCTCTTCCTTCCCACTCATCATCTGCCTCATCTGTTTAGATCCCAGGCATTTTGGGGCAGCAGGCTCTCCCGTCTTGTGTTTGTGGAGGTACCCATATAAAACTCTCATGGGTATTAGTGAACTGCACCCAGCCCTGAGGTGACATAAAGTGATGGTTAGAAATAGCATGTCCAGAGAATGACCAGGGAAAAGGGACAAATTGCGCACAAGATAAGCGTGTGTTTTGGCTACAAGAGGCCCAGATCTGAAGTGTTTGTGCAGAAGCAATGATGGCTATGCTCAGTGACCCATCTGCCATCTATCTGTGCACAGAAATTGAGTTTTGTCTCCACTGGACTCCATTGATTGTCACAGTCCTGACTGATTTCAACACTGAAGCCTACGGCTGGGTTTGTGCTTGTTCCTGAACATGGGACTTGATGTCATGTTCCACCCACTGTGTCTGCTGGAGACTCCTCCAGTTGTCAGGAGTACTGGGACTGTCAGTACTGATGACCCTGATTAAAAATGTCACCAGCTCCAGAGTCACAGCTCACATGGTGTCTGAAAATAACATGGCCTGGCAGGCAGGAGCAAAGTTTTCCACCACCTGATGCCTGATCATTGTAAGTAACCTGGGCTGAGTTTGGTAGTGCCCGTCTTTTAAATCCCTTCATTACGAAGAGGCTGAAATGAGCATGAATTACTTTTTTTCCCTCTTGCACCTTCTTTCCAGGTGGGTGCAAGCTGTGTTAGCAGTGGGGGCTGAGCCCAAGTTTCCTTCCCCTGCACTGTGAAAAAACAGAGAACGTTCTTCTCCAGAGCTGTCAGTTTAAGACATCTCAGAGCCTTGAAAGCCTAATCAATGTTTCAGGGATGCATAAAGTGGTACTTAAATGCTGTGGTGACTGATACTCTATAAATAGCTGCAAGTGTTTATGTAGCAGGAGGTACTTGGAGAGGACAGGGCAAGCAGGCGGAGGGTCTTTCTCACCTTCCCTTTGCAGTGTTTCAGCAAGGACACTGGGGCGGTGCTGGCACAAGGCTGAGGAGCTCTTCAGCAAACTCAGCTGTTTGTCCCTCACTCAGGTCACCTTCAGAGGCCGTTTCCTTGGCTTATCTCAAGCAGGCTATCTCAGTGGGTTCTCAGATGTGGGCAAAACACCGTGCCTCAGCAGCTGGTCTGCAGTTTGACACTTGGCAACTGAGGCATGGTGTCTCAAATGACCCTTGTGCCCAGGGAAGGATAAGGAAGAACAGAGAGGCTTATAAAGCTGTGGCCATGCCCTAGCAATGTGAGTAAGGTAAAAAATACCCCCAGTGTGTCAGGCTCTCCATTACCTTCCCTCACAACAGAAGCACAAATAAAATGCTGATCCTTACCTCTTCAACAAGCTGCAGCATTCGACGTGTACTCTCAAGGGACTGAAAAAAGCAGAGTAAAAAGCAACTTAGATTTGGCAAAGCATAGTTCCCACCACTAACTTTTGGGCTCATGCTGACAATATGCTCCAGTGCTCTTTGCCTTTCTTTCAAATCAGGACTTCAGCAGGGGACTGGTGGTCTCTTCATCTTCCATGCTCTGGGACAGCTTACTGATGCCACAGCTCCCGCTGCATCTGCCCGGAGCAGCCCTAAAGCTTGTACTCCCTGTGCCTGTGTGGTGCAGCAGTGGTGCTGAGAACAGCTGATGTTCCACTTTAGAAATAAAATCGGTGGGTTTCTGCTCAGACCTTTCAGAGACCTAAATGGTGACATTTAATATTGCATAGATTTGGCAAATTGAAGGAATCCTAAGACAATATTACACTGCTGATTTTTGCTTGAAGGTCAGTCAAGCTGATGGACGCTCTAATGTTGTACATAATGCAGAGATTATGTACAACCAAGCTCACAGTCTATAAATATCTTAATCTAGACTACCTAGTCTGGACTAAACATAACATGAAACTGTACCACAATTCATTTCTTTCTCAATTCTACCTTCGGTGTAAAGCTGATGGAAAATGCCATCAGCCCTAGAAATCCTTTGTCAGATTGCCTCATATTTCTGGCCATGCCTCCCACTTAACCCCAAACCCAAGTTTCCTCTGTAGCTATCAGTCTCACTTCATCAGCAAGCTGGTCGGCACGCCGCTGCATTTCTTCCAACTCATTGCGCATGTCCGCGTCTTCCGCCATTTTAGCTGTGGGTGTGTTTGTGGAAGCTGCAGATCAAGGATTTCTGCTCAGCTGCCTGCAAGCCTGGAAGACAGTGAAAAGGGAAAGAAGCAGTGAGGGTAGGCTCCCTGAAGCATTGAAATGCACTTAAATGTCAGTCACCCAGAAGTCCTTTTGTAACATGAATGCCTTCACCCAACCTCTTTCATTCTGGACAGTAATTCCTATGCAGTACAGAGTGCACAAGATTTTTCAAGGTAATGTCTTAATCCTGTAGTATTAATCACTCTTTAGGAGAAAGGATTTATTCTTGTCATGTTAATTGAAGAAAAGTGAATCCTTCCTTTATTCTTAACAATGCAAATGCTATACACATCACAGCTGAATAGTCAGGAGGCATTATTCATATCGGAAGTGGTCTTGGCACCCAATTATTCTTTCCTAGAATTAAAATTCATAATGTGAAGGAGGCCAATGTCAAGTTTATGCCCCTCAAATCCTAAATTTAACTGTATTGCTTGGAGGGCTATATGCTCAGCTAATGAATCTCTAATAAAGTTAAATACAACGAAACTTTTGTATCAGCAATGACTTGTCCAAGCTGCTCTAGTTTAGACTCCAAAATAATATTTACAGCTAGGCTGGGTGAAGTCATCTACCTGGTAGGATCTTTCATTTCAAGTGAAAAGGCTACAGGAGTTAAATAGTGCTGTCATCTTCCCCCCAGGTTCTCATCTTGGTTATCCCTCTCAATACCAATCAGTAGCATTGAGCTCCTCCTAACCAGAGATCAGGATGCAACCTACTAATCTTCATTTGGTTTTTTGTTATAAATTCAAGCTAGCTCTGATTACTGAGCATGACTTGATTAAGAAAGGCGGGTCTTCCTACCATCTGTCAGGTCTTTATAACAACAGCACTGGCTTATTTCTCTGCTTGATTCAAGCATGGCACATTGCAAATTGCTGCTCACTGAATGTTAGATTTGTTCATTGCAGGTGCAGAAGAGATGGAAAGTTGTGGGGGACTGAGAATATACAGCCATAAAGCACATGGTATCATGCTCAATTACAGAAAGACAACAAAAGGAGCCCCTTTAAGTAAATCTTCTCTAGGAAAGCAAAATCCCAGAGGCTATTTTCTGTTCTTTCTCTGCATTATGTACAACCCTTATAAAGCAAGGGAGAACTTGGCTCTGAAATTTCAACAATAATAACTTAGTTTAAAAGCGAGTTATTTTCTATCTGAGATGAATCCATTCCTTGCTTTGAGCAGTCTGTACCACAACAACAGGAATATGGGCTGAACAGGTAAAGCTGGATGGCCAAGATATTTCCTAGATAATGCCTCAAACAGGGGCTTAGAAAAGTGTAAGGACAGCAGAAAGCTCCTTGCATTTTCCCTGAGGCTTCATCAACAAATTTGCTATTTTTCTTATCTAAGGAATATGTGACCTTCATGCTTTTTCATTAGCTGTGCCCTCACTTGTGGTTGCTTTTCCTCTTTCAAGATACAGCAGGAAGAAATTCATTTCGGAGAGCCAGCCCTGAAGCTATTGGCACAGTATCCTGCTTTCATCACTGAGCACATCGCTACATCTTTGTCAGAGGCAGGCTGACATTCCATGATGGGTCACACAATGTTTAGGAGCCCAAATATACTCTGGAGAAGAAGCCCACCCCATTTTGCCAGCTGCATGGTCACAGCGGTGTGAGGGACCAAGCTTAAGCATCTCATCTGCAGCCCCAGCTGATGCAAATGCAGAGCTTAATTTCATGGCTAATATTCAGACTGATATCGGGCATTTCAAGGATGCTCACAAACAGCAGTAAATAAGCTTTATGAAACTGTCGCCCTCAAAGGATTAGGAGGAAGAACTGAATCAGGAATCAGTCTCCTGAAGGGCTTGTAAACGTGTGGGAACACTCTCAAGGCCACCTCAATCTTCCCACTCCGTTGCTGCTCTCACAGCGCCTTTTGAGGCGTATCTTGCAGCTCCATAAAGATACTGCTCCTGAAAAGCAAATGGAGCCAGCTTGACTGGGATAAAAATAAGTTATTTGAGCACTGAGCTTTAGCAAAAATCATGAAAATGTAGACGTATTCTAATTGGTATATACATGTAGCTGTGAGAGGCAGAAAACTGGTTTTGTTTGTTGTCTATTTGGTAGCATTTTCCTAGCTGTAAACAGGGGATTTGGTTCAGTCTCTAAGCATATTCCACGTGATCTCAGTGATCATAGATGTGTGAGGGAAGGTGCGATGAGTGCTTCTCCTGACGATAATGAACAATGCAGTCTGTTTATCAGTCATCACACACAATAAAAATTGTGCAGAAAATTCAGTTCTCAAGTAAACTCCAGACTGGCTTTTGGTCTTTTACTTATTAATTTTGGATCATAAGCCGGCAGTAGTTTTGAAAGGTGCAAAAAAAGCAACAAAGGGGTGAAATATTGTGATTTTTCTTAGGGTTATCCTTTTCAGTTAATTAGAAGCATCAATTGACATCTTAGTGACAGATCTATCCTATTTTGCATCAAACTAAAAAAAATGTCAGGGGTTGTAAGCAGAAAGATGTTTTGTAGCAAGTGATCAAACTTGACAGGTTTATTGAGCTTGTTTGGTATTTGTAAAGCACTTAGAATGGATTGAGAAATAGCAAGAAGCATTCTTCCAGACAAGTCATTTTACATCAAGGTTTAGTCATAAACAAAAGTACCCTGCAGCAGTGTTGATTCAACTTTATTTAATAGAAAACCATGCATAAGAATCAATAAAGGTTACTCATTTGAAGGCAGTGTGATAGACTGTGCGTATATTGCAGGTGGTTGGGAGTGGATTTAAATTTTTTGCATATTTTGCAGTTCTAAAGGTGGAATAGCACAGATGTGTCATAAGATTTTCTTTGAAAAGCCCCATAGAGGCTGAAATTCCATTTCAGTTTCATGAAATTTCAGCAACGAACTCTGATATATATAAAATTTCATTGAGAGCGTATTTGTGTGTTCTAAAGGGAATTACGTCACTACAAAACAAATAAAGTTTTCCTTCTGTGATGTTTTCAGGAAAAATTCAGGGCCTGTATATTCCTCTTGATATATTAAAGCACTGAAACTGAAGTAATGGTCAAGAAAAGGTAAACAGTAATGGAGCTGCTCTCACTGATTGTGGGACAGGCTTTCAAAAGTATGAAGTAGTAGCTTATTTTTGGGCTTGCTAAAGCCTGTTGCTATTTTGGTAAAAAGGGAACTGATCAAGGATACTGTTGATGACTTTGGGGAATAAATTTCTTATCATATTTTGCATTCTGTTCTCACACAAGCTGATTTGAACCAGCTATCAAAAGTCTATAACGGTCTTAGGAACCCTCAGTATGAGTGGATATAACCTCTCAAAAATGTGCTCTTTACTTTCAGTAAACTACCTCTTATTTTGCCTACAGTCATTGCGTAGATGACAGATCAAGAAATCAAAGTTGTGATGTACTGAGGTATTTAGATCTCCAACTTTGATAAAAATAAGTTGCTACAGAAGTTACAGCCACTCGCATGAACTCAGTCATTTTTTGTTAATACTTATGTTAATTATATATGCAAATGCAAGCTCAGAATTTCCCAAGGATCTTGGTTTCTGCATTTCAGAAAGGAGAAACCATGTGGGTTTACCAAGAGAAAAGACTGGCTAATGGAAGTATATTGCCAATTATACTTTGAATTCTGCATTTGATATTTTAGTAGTGGTCAGACGCAATGAAGAATCTCATAGTGAGAACATTATATATCCTTCCAGAATTATAGTGAAGTCTGAGAGACCTAAATATATCCCTAAAGGAAGGGAGAGACAATGAGTGACCTTTGAAAGCAAATATTTGCTTCACAGTGATATAAACACTTCAGTGCAATAAATACAGGAAAATGAAAATGCTGCAATTTACTGTGGTGAAGGCAACGCTGCAATGAAGTGTTCTTTTTTAAGCACTCTCCCTGTTATTAAAGATACATCTATTCTTCCCATGGATATTTGTGGCCAGAGGATAACTGCATTGGCATATTCTACTAAAAAAGTTGGTCAACACATCACTTTCCGCTCCTTTTTTGGAAGATTGAAAGCATTGCCACAGTGATGTGGCAGTGGAAAACCCAGTGAGAGACTTTGGTCATCAGGCATCTCAGGAAGGATGCTGTGCTGTTTGAGTCTAGGTGCTGGAGTTGCAGCTGTCCCCCTTTCATTTTCAGTTTGCTCACTGGCAGAGGGAACGACATGCACTGCCAAAGTGGAGAAGTTCAGCTCTAGGTGAAAGCATCAGCCTTCCCTCCCTTGCAGTCAGACAGTTCCCTAGGTGCTGCACAAGGCGCCATGGCCGGGAGCAAGGCAGCTTCAGGGCTTTATAGGATCCCACCCTCAAAATGCCCATCTTTTTCCCTGCTCAGCTGCCCAGCACCTCACTCATGCTTTTCCCCACTTCCTCCAGTCTTCCCTGTTTTTAATAACTGTGAAATAAAATCTTAGAGGAAGACTACTTTTTGGATCCCTTTTGCAGCAGAGCCTATCGTCTGGCTCTAAGTTAGCCCAAGACTTTCAGAAGAGTTAATATTTCCAAAAAGACCCAACCCTGTCATGTCCACGTTGTAGATTAAGCCCCAGAGCAGCCTCCATGTTCCTGTGGGGTATGTTAAGGTCCTCATCTCCCTTCGTTTGCTCTCTCACTGTGGTTTGCTTGCATGCCTTTGGGCACAGTTCCACCTCCATGGCTGAGGGAGCCTGCTGATAACTGATTCTTCTCTGCTTTTTGCTTGTAATTCTGCAAAGAATAATGCCTGCTTGTGAGGGCTTGACAGGGAGTGACTTTAGAAAAGACAGGCACTGAGATCTTGAAAATTTGAATTCAGGAGAAGGAGGCGATTTCTACTTTGTCACCATCTTCCTGCATCATCTTAGACAACTTATTTTACTCTCAGGGCTTGCTTGTGTTGCCTAAAGACATGTCTCTGGAGCTATGTCAGATGCTTTAGGTATTTGGTTTCCTGCTGCTGACTGTATCTGTCAGCCTCGTGCAGACATCTGGGATGCCCTCTGATGAGACT